TAAGCAACAGCAATGGCAGCACATCAATGACCTTCGAACAAGTGTGTGGCTTTTACGCTGGGCAAAGCCTCTCATTCCAGGTGCTCCATTGAAGTAGAATCACTTCAAGGGTAAGCTGCGGTGGAGTCTGAGGAATCTGAGGATGAGCTGGTACAATGTACGAGCTCACATGATGAAACCATGTTGTGGATGATGTGGATGATCCAAACCTGCTAGTGCGAGGAAAGAAGCCAGTCAGCTAGCAACACAGTCAGGATTCTCAGGATAGTCCGCCCAAAAAGCAGACACCGCAAAGTTGCTAGAGCTCAACTGGAATGGCCCCTTTGTTCAACTGGAATGCCCTCGAATGCAATGAAGAAACATTGAACAAATGCCGTGCCACGCCCATGCAGTGCATGTGCACGCAATGGAATATGTATATATACGTATATATTTATGTATTCCAACATGATATCTTGCACCATAGCCATTGGTGTGTGTTCTATTTTCCACAGCATGCACGCTCACAATATGTCAATATGCCCGTACATACTGTGCATAGGCACATGTGATCTACTGTTGCATGGTTTTGGACATGATCGAACCTATGGGGCTCGTTGGATTTGGGCGATACGCCTTGGGGGCCGGTTGTGTGGTTTCCACTCTCAAAATTCAGCCATGAGGCGTTCAAAACTTGGCCAGCCGCGAGATTCCTTCGGCAAAGCTGCCAATGTGGGAGGTGGTCACGCAAAATATGCGTCTATAGTCTACATATGTCTACATTAACAATAGCAATCGCACATCGCAATACATAAATGCAAGGGTCCCTCACATGAACAGCTTCTTGTCCTTCTACCTTTCATTCCTAAAAGTATTCGTCCCTTTCGTTGTTGGCTAGCCTGCCATCATCTGAAGTTAGCTAAGCTTCATAAGGGAGTACAGGTACCGTTGACGTTGCACCAGACGTCCCTATACAAAGATCTTCCGGCAAGTCACCTCAGTATCCAGTTTCAAGAGCAAAAGGTCTATGTCATGAGTCGAGATGTCAACATATGTCAACCCCTTATATATGCATGCGCTGGAACTGGCAAGCATGAGGAACTAGGAACTAAGTCTCAAAAGGGTATTACTACTAGTAACAAGGGCATCGCTAATTACTAGTAACAAGGGTATTACTTCTAGTGTCCAACCAAGTGTCTTGCACCGCCCTGTCCAGAACCTGCGAAACCAAGCCAAGGAGCAAGTCTCTGGAGTTGAAGTCAAAATCCACACCTTCACTACGCAAACTTGAGACCAATGTTCACGCTGTCATGCACTTGAAGTGATAGAGCCAAAAATGCCAAACAAGGGTCCTACGAGTACTACTACATATAAAGGACTTGGTAGGCTTTGTAGTAGATGTTTCATTGTCTATTCGTGCAGTGTCCTTGATTGATTTGAATTTCTGGTAAAGACAATAGACATGGCTCCTGCACTCTCACACTCTGCACCTCTCAGGCAAGGAATCTTCACACGGCAGAAATCAAAGGGTACTTGTTCCGGCCTGCGTCCTTTTGTGTGCATACCAAATGGCAACATTCTTCAGACTTTCTTCAAAGGCCTCATTGCAGGAAGGTTGTGGACGCCACAGCTGGTCAAGCATCCAATCTACATTGATCTATACATTTGCCTGTTCTGTCCACAGCACATTGCATGTCTGAAACACCCCTACCTTTGCTTCAGCAATGGATCGCGGTTCCTGGAAAAGGCTGCAATAGTCCAGGAAAATGGCCAAGTCCACCTCACCAACAGTGCCTCGGTCTGCCACCCCTTTGTCAGCGTCCAGGGCGACGTGTTGCCAACGAATTCATTCAACGACCAAATAACCATGCCAAAGCTACTCAAACTCCCGATTTCCACCCAACAGCTTTGAGCGTCTTGAAGTGAGTGGATGACAACCCTGTAAGGTGCATTGGGTAACATTGTGTTTGTGCAAGCTTCAGCCACTCGAAAGCCATCAAACAGTCTCCATGGGAAGCATCATGGTGCAGAATGCACGGGCCTTGGCGGCCAAGGGGCTCAAATCTGCCAGGCAGCTGCTCACCAAAGCACTGATTGCCTGCAAGTGAGTGCCATGAGGATCTGGATGTTCTGCACGATGCCTCCAGTGTTGAAGACGTCTTGAACAATTCGGCAGATTGCAAGAAGGCTTCTGGGCTCAATGTTGGACAGAAGAAAGCTGTTCCTGAAAGGAAAAGCCGTGCAAAGTGGCAACGCAAGAACACGTTTGATGCAGCCACGCAGCCAGCAGTACCTCAGGTACCAACAAAGCGCAACGGAGTACACCCAGTAGGCATGTCTTAGCCAAGTGCCTTGCAAGTCTCAAGTCGAAGCCAAGACCGTGCTGCCATGGTGCGAGATCGCCACCACCTTTGTTGGAGACAAGTGCCGGCCTTGGTCATATTCCTCGGAGTCTCGTTGCAGATCTTCCACGTCCTCGCAGCACCGAAATGAAACAGTGGACAAATCGATTCCGGATCTCTAGAAACAGGTCAAACGTTCGACAGGCGGGCTCAAACAAATCGCACTGCCCAGTCCCAAATTGCTTCTGCAGGAAGATCTTGCCGTTTAGGTAGTCGTCCGTTAGCAGCAGCCAACTTGCATAGCCAGGTGCCTCCCATAAAGCACCAAATTCACGCTTGTGAGTGGAACTTTGTGCTTGTAAGATCTTGGAGTGCATTGTGGTCGATCCTTTCCGACTGATAAATCTGATAGCCACCATGTTTGCCACCTAAGAATCTTTAAGCTTGACCTTCTCGCATGGTTGACAACATTCAATGACAACCACACAGAACCAACAAGTCACCAAGTACAATTCCAAACAAAGTAGTCATGACTTGTTCTCAGAAAAATGGCCATGAGCGCCTCGAAGCAGCACAACCGGTGCCTCACCTTCTCCTTGGGGATGGCAAAGCCAAAAGCGCAGGACAATAAGTGTGCCTTGACCAAAATCCTTCGTGCTGAGCAGCTAGACAGGTTGGAGCTTTTGCGAAAATTTCTTATGGCATGCTCAAGCATTCAGTGCACTCTGTGCCTCTGCGCCTTCCCCTATATTACTGCCCACGAACTGATTTCAGCCAAGAAACCTATCTTTTTCAGTGGTTCCCACCTGCGATGGGCTGAGACTCAAGATTGTCCGGCTGAGGTGCAACTGATGTTGTTTGGGGCATGTGTGCCTTAGTCATGCCAAATTTCCCACCAGCTATGGGCAAAAGTTCCCCCCTGCTTAGACACAGTGCGGCTTGTCTCGTTTCCACAATTCTTGTGTATGACTGACATGCTGCATGGACATGCATGGACATTATCAGCTGCGTCCATCAATTTACATGCACTGTCTCCTCAATCAGAATGGACCCAATTGCCTGGTGCACACCGTTCGAATTATCACATTTCATAGTACAGTACTTATATATACATGTATATTAAATGATTGAAGGATGTCCATTTCTGATTTTGTTTGACCCCTCTCCGTTGTTGGTTGCCTTTTACAGCTGAAACACCTGTCACCTGAGGGTCCGGCAAGCTGCCCACTTCGCTGTATTTCATCTGCGACGGGTGTAACGCGGTGAACCACTGACCTGGGGCCTTCGTTCCTTCGTTGACCTGAGACACTTCCTGAAATCGATATCTCATGAGGCCTTTGGTAGAAACAAAGCACACAAACTAGCACAGCACCGTGCTTTTTGTTGGGGGAATGTCATTGTTATACATCCCTCCGGAGAACCTAAACTTACGTACCTACCAACCCGTTTTCAATCGTTTCTATATTCTCACGGACGGATGAACAAAATAGCATGTAATAGCACACTTTAACCCCTGAAAGATGGCTATGCTTGGGGCAACGTCAGGTTGTGCCAGGATTCTGAAAATTTCCTGTTTAGCCAGCAAAAGAGAAAAAGACCGCAAACACAACTCATCGTTCAAAAATTGATGATCATGATGGGGAACCATCACAAACAGGTGAAAGCGGGAAGAGCAAACGAGCAAACCTGCAACATGTAGCACAGGCGGATTCTGAGTCTTATGCTTCACCTGAGTGCCGCCCAGACACCAGCTTCTTCACAGCCATCCGGGGCTCCTGGAAATCCCGATCCTCAGAACTTTGAGAAGGTGCGATCAATTACCAGCTGGGCCAGGGAATGCACGCCTGCTGTGTGCCAATGTGGGTCCTGTATTGGCCTATATTGGCAGCATCGCTTACACCACATGATTGATACAATATTTGTCAATATCTCCGGAAAGATTTGGCCAAGAGCTCCAGAGCAAGGCCGAAGCTACCCAATCAGACAAGCCTCTGGTAGCCCATGCTTCTCAGCATCTTTGATCACCTGCATGTGGTGCTGATTCAAAACAGGTCCCGCTTGTTGACATTCACTGCATTGACCATATATGAATGATCATATGTCATCATTATGACTTGGTATATATATATATAACTATATAATATATATATATGTGCGTGTACTGTAGTGGTTCAATGCTGATCATGGGTCCCTTTTTCAACCCCCCTTGAACCCGATCACGATGACTCTTGACTCCAAAACTTGCCTCTCTGATGCCGAGCAGGTCTTGATTGTCAATCGTCTCACGAAAACGCGCTAGGAGTTCATCACGTCGCTCCTGAATTGAAGTGGGGTTGGCAAAGTATATGGCAAAGCATTTCTATTGTAATGCTATAGTTACTATAGCCAACTATAACTGTACACCCCTCGGTGATCCCTCTCTTATCCTCGCTGGTCTTAATTGACTGAATGAGGAACCGATGCGCTAGCTACAGGCACCCACATTGTCACACATTCCGATGAGTGCGGTCCAGCCAAACTCGAAGCCGCGGATTCAGTAAATCTCTGGAACAGCCATTGAGAGCTGCTTGAAGTGTGAAGTGCGGATCCTGACCTTACTGGAAGTCAAAATCTGTACTCTGGAGCTGTATGCGTTGAATGACCTGCGCATTTCTGAGGAGTCTGAGGGCAACTCGTAGCTCAGGAGCAATATAGAGAATGGACTCGCTGCTGCACTTCACACACTCCAACCTGCAAATTGTGGTCTCCCCTTGGAGTGGCACATGTACAAATCCCTCTTTCTATTGTTTAGTCCGATCTTTTCCTCAGATGAGCATGTGGATTCCAGAAACGAGCAAAACACTAATTAGCTACACTACTTTTGGCTGCCACGGTATGAAACATCGTGTAAGACCCCACGACTTTGGTCCACAAAATGTGGCAGCAAAGCAACGCAAAGTCTGGATCTGATCGAAGATTTGAAGCAGCGTAGCGTAAGGCATGGCCGTCTTGAGCCACGGCCTCAAGTAGCTGTGCGCATGGCAATGGAAGACTCACGAACAAAGCAAGACGGACATGCTGGACTGAGCTCGTGGCTGCAAGCACAACCTGAACGGGAAACACTCTGAGACTCTTAGGTGAAAGGCCGGTTTGGCAGCAAAACACCGTCAACACATTCTGTGCGACAGCATGTGCGGGTCAGGCAAAGTTGCAAACCTCTGTGCTACCTATAAGCTCTACTCTGACCCGCTCTCACCGGAGAGCAAAGCAAAGCTGAAGGCCTTCTCGTCCGCACAAAGCTCTTCTGCTGCGTGCCTAGGCAGCAATGAGTGACTAGGCGGTGAGTCCCCCACGTAATGATCACCAGAAGCGATCGGCAATGCAAATCACAAGTTGCAAGGGCCAAATGGCAAACTGAAGCAGAAAGTTCTGGACCACTACAAGCTCTAGCACCGTAGATTTAGGCAAGCTTCATCAAGCAAGCACCATCTTTGGCAACCTGAGCTTCAGAAAATGGCCTGAACACCTGCACTGCAATCCAGAAACTGCTTTGAACTACTCAAAAAATAGATGTTGCAAGGGCAGCAATGTGAGTGTCACCCTTTTTTTACCGCCAGGATCTGCATCTGCATCATATTGAAAGAGTGCTTATATGACATGTTGGATGTGGCGTTCCCTTCGGTCGATTGACCAATGTCTATTTGTGCAAAGCATACGTGTGGTGAAATTTGGATTAAACATGATTTCAGTACCACCTGTTGTGAGGGTCGAGGTGACACGACAATCTGTAGCCCAAGTGCAAAAGTCCCCCTTTGGCCTTTGGCTCATTGCTGCAAAGCCCAATCAACCCACTGCAACTGCAAGGAACAGCCCGAAGGAAGAAATCTGCATCACGTCGGATCTCCTGGTAGTTTACAGTATTTGGATTACATGAAGCTAGTCCTAAGAGGGTCAATTGTCATTGCTCCAGTGAACAGTCTGTCCCCTTCAGCGGCGAAATCTCTTGGCCCAAGGACTGCTTTTCTGCTACAGGTTGCCAGTCTTAGCTTTTCCATTTCCTACCACTTCACAGTCATTGGTCATTTCAGCTGATGAGTCCTGAGAAGCATGAACCAAAGCCCAAGACCCTTGCTCACTGATTCCTGGAGAAAAAATGGCAGTCCAACAAAGCAGGATCCAGAACATCTTTCCAGCGTTGATTCACAGCGTTACAGCATGCTTGCCTCATCTTGACCACTCACTTGTTTGGAAATACAAGGACAGCTTTTACCGGTGTTGAATTCTCGGCATCAAAACTTCAAATCACAGTTTCAAGTGAATTACCTGCTACAGCCCCCTTCCACTTCCACCTTCTTGACTAGACTCACGGCTGGACATTTTGAAGCACGAACAAGGCCCAAGGCCATTCATTTCGACCTAGTTAAGTACGCAGCCACATGTCAAGGCCTGCAAGAAGTTGCTCCGAGTGCGGAAGGGATGCGGACTTCACACCGCCAAAGTGTGTCATCTTGGAAGACCTGGAAGTCAGGGGCTTGAAGGGCCAGCCACACCTACCACTGCCAAAAACTTGTTCATACAACACAGCTGTACTGGCTGCACCGTTGTTCAACGCAAAGGCACTGAACATCCCAGGACTCCAGGATTAATTAGTGAGTTTTCACCATGACATCTGTGGATTCTCCTGACACATAGAGTTTGGACACTTGATTCAAGTCCTGATTGATTAAAGTGACCTTTGAGGCAAGGGCACGTCAAAGCGATGCTTCACGAAGCCGCCATGAAATAGGCACGTGCATTTCGCGCCGCTAGGTCTTGCACGCTGTGGCACATCCCCAGCTACCAACAAGCTTCCTTTGGCCAAAACCAACACGCAAATGCAAGCAGCTTGGCGGCGAGTGTGATTCACACACCCTAAAAATAGGACGATGGGTTGCGACATCTTCCATCTGGTATTCTCATAGGGGATTTCTGGTCATCTGATGTCATCTGCAGGTTCCTCGTAAGATCGCATTGTAATATTTGCCAAGCCTCATCCTTTTGAATTGAATTTAATTTCTACGTGAACTATGTCACAATGACCAGTTGAATGACATAATTAACATTATCAAAATATTTAAACATCAAAAGCATGTCGCAATGATTAAATCCTTCTCGTCCCCTATGCTCACCTGGGGGAAGATGTCCAACGACCTTGCTCCTTGGCAAACACATCTTGTTCGGACTGAGATTGCTGTTCATGTGAAGAAGGGTGACCTGCTACTACCAAAGCAAAACGTTTAGCAACATGTGCTGTCGCATGCTGGACATCGAGGTTGAACAGCTGGTAGACACAGACTCAAACCATGCCTATGTCATAAGAACGGGACCCCCCCCAAAAGGTCCACGATTCAACAGCTGTGCAATTCAAGCGTGCACTCTTGCAAACTCCAGGAACGATCGGGTATCCGTCTCTCTCTCTCTCTCTAGCTGCATCGCAGGGGCGTCGGGTGCATCTGTTGATGGCCATTGCTTCCTGAGTAGTTTGGATCCATAGATGACACGTTCCCCGTGCGGAGTGCTCAGAAAAACATAAGTTCAACGCATCCTTGCTATTTTTAATATTTGTTCTGCTCGCTGCTCGCTTGGAACAGCAAATGTGTGGTGCTGTGTTTTGCTCAACATTGCTTGTTATTGGATAAAATGTAAACGAATACGTATTAGGCTGCATGACCCAGCTTGCGGTCTAGAGTCCAACTGGACCAGTTGTCTGTGTCTCTCCAGTGCCAGCGACTTTGGCTTTGATCCCAGTCATTCCAGCCTCGCCAAGTGGACTCACCAAGGCATGTTGATAGTCGGCTGGATGTGTTTGTTTTTGAAATATAACTGTCGAGATCAATCGAAGCGCTTGTACAAGAATCCTTTACGCCAGGCAATTTTCAGCAGGACCTGCTCTAACAGGTCGGACATTTAGTGCACAGAGCAACAAACCATTTGATGCTAGCATCAAAAGAACAAAGCACATGACAGGTATGGCCTAGGCGGTGTTTTCGTGCTTTGTTTGATTGCTTCTAGTTTCTTTTTCTTAATGTTTTATCTTGCTTCTTTTGCATGGGTTTCTGGCCGGTGTTCTCTCACATCCTACCTCCCTGCCTCTCTCTTTCTGCAGCACTGTGAGCGTGTGTTTTCTGTTGCATTATCTGCCAATGGGATGAAATTGTGTCCCAAGTCCCATTGTCAACCAAGCTCCTGGCCCCAGCCAAGGCTGCCCCGCCTGCCCTGCTGCGTGGAGCGACAACTGGTGGAAAGGCAACCATGTTTTTAGAACAGTTTATGGAACTCGGCGTTCTCTGAATATATATATATAATTCATCTTCGATCAAAACTCACCATGCTCTGTACCAGCGCCGTTGACACCCCAGCTCCCAACCCCCAGGGAGCGCTCACTTTTTGGTTCACACGGATGGTGGATGGGAAACTTTGTCCTTGCATCATGTGACAGCTCCAAAAACGATCCTGCTGAGCGGTTTAGGCATGTTTAGGCACCCCCCCCAGGAGGGCCAAGGACATCAGTCCAAAGATTATAGCTGAATAACAAAGAACATCTTGCACAAGCATTGAGTATTGGCGTCATATTTCAGCTTGAGCTTAAGCTATCACACGATCATTGCGCAAGGCTGAGATTTCATCTTCACTGAACTGAAGTTTTTCCCTGAGGACCTGCGACAGCTGGATGGACGGCAAGTACATGGCAGTCACAAGCAGTATGCACAACAGTATGTTAACAGTTTGCTCCATTGCTGTACGGCATGGCATATCGGCATATCAGTATCATTAGCCATACGGCATATTGTTAGTGATCAAATCCAGATTCGGATTAGCTGATTAATGTCGACGTAGGATTAATCAACGGCCCCCCTTCAAGGTCAACAAGGTCAACAAGGTTTGAGATTTGAGGTTTTGGAGATCACATCCCCCTAATAAAGCTGATAACCTGATGATGAAAGGGAATTAGTATTTGAAAGAATTGGGCTGAAAGGGAATTAGTAATTGGAAGAATTGAGATGAAAGGGAATTAGTATTTGGAAGAGTTGGGATGAA